ATAAAGAAGATACCGTTTTCTGGAAAATTCTAAAAAGCTAATTCATTTTTCAAAATCATAATAAAATTTTTACTTCGTTGATCAAGAAACTAATTACATTAGTTTTTTTTCTATTATGGAATACCCCGTACTGTTTAATGCATTTATTTTGCTTGGTCGGCGCACATCTCTCTGAACTTGAGGTGATATGGTTTTGGTTTTGTTGTGTCTTAGAAATTACATATTTTTTGAGTCACTAGACGCCACAATTTTTGACTAAATGCGTTACACTTTACCTAAAACTTTATTTTTGAAATTCAGGCAAGTGTCAAAAATGTTGGAAATTTACAGTAATGACCCAACACTAACGGTGAAATATCGATTTTTTAGGCATTGAGCATTAATTTCTAAATGTTTATTCACATATGTTGGTGACATAATGCTGGGTTTCCATATCGCAATTTTACTGTATATATACTGATAGTACATTAGTCTGTGCTTTTGAATATCAGTTATCGTCATTTTAAATAATTGCAAAAGAAACGGCAGCCACAGTATAAGTAACAAACAAAAAAAAATTTTAAAACTACACATTTTTGTCACGCATTTATGAATAACCCACTTTTAATGACTATGTGAATACATGAATATCGCCCTCAGGAAATGTAAATTAGAGATGCATCGGATAGTGGCTTTACCGGGTAACGGGGAACAGAGTTTTTTTCCATTTAGATTTTAATGTAAAATGTTTGAAGTTATTAACAAATACAACTGCATATTAAAATTCAAAAATGTACTTTTTTCGTTAAAAACCAGGATATAGATGCACGTTGAATAATAATGCACAATTAGGTGCAGTGTTTGAAATGTAATACATTTAAATTTTATATATATAACAGTTAGCTTATTGATTTTGAGACTGAATTTAATATAGTGCTAATATATGCTGATTTTATATTCCAACATATTACAAGAAATCAATAGATTTTAAGTATATTACTTATAAATTATTTAAAATTTCTATATCCGTAACATAATGTTTCAATATTTATTTTTTTATTCATTTCATTGAAAATTGAAGAAATTTTTTACGTTAGTATTAATTCATTCTTCCATTTTACTCTTCCACAATTCTGCAATCTATAATTAATTTTGTTTTGCCCTTCCGAATTTATTAGGATATAAATTTCGATGTTAAATTGATTTATTACTGCTTTTTTTTGAATTTTTAATAATTAAGAATGTATAATTTCGTTGACATTATTATTACTGCTGTATTTTTCTTTTTTTCCTCCTGTTGAATTACCCTCCGAGATAAAAATGTTCAGTCTTTCAGAGTCTCTGAAAGCGAGACTCGAGTTTCCGTCTCTCATCGAGTCTCTCTGGTGTCGCTGAGAGAGACTGTCGAGAGACTATAAAAAAAAACTGTTTAGCGTCTCTGAACGTGAGACTCGAGTCGCTCATAGAGAGATCCTCATTTCGTATCCAGTCTCTGAACGAGAGACTCGAATATCTCAATAAGTGGTGTCTCGATAGACATGGTTAAAATTTTCTAAGTTAAAAATATTTCAGAGATCCCAGTCTTTCTACGAAAGACTCCAGTCTCTCAATTTTTCAGTTGTATTCATTCAGTCTCTCTGTGAGAGACTCGAATCNAAGATCATCTTAGGCACACTTAACTGGAATTTGTATTGCTTAACAAAAGCAGTTGCAACATTTAAATTGCAAATGTGACTCTACTGAAGATTTCTGTTTATGTTCTTTCTTTGTGGCGATGGCTTGGAATTATGTGTATTTCTGTTAAAGCTGACAGCACATCATAATAACATTTGACCTAAATTTGTAGTTGATACTAAGTATGTAAGTACGT